CAGCATCGTCCAGTACAGAAGCTATCATGTTACAAATGTAAGTTATAAATTACTGTTCCCATCAAGCACAAAGTATACCCAGCAAATAAGAACCGTATATGTGTCAGTAATATAACATCGATATGTAATGTCAGCTCAACCATATTTACACAGTTACATAACAAACCACATAAATGTGCTGACATTACATATCGTTATTATATTACTAATACATAAATATATATAGTTCTGGTTTGCTGGGTGTAGTTTTAAAAGTAGCACTATATAGTTTTATGCTTTCAGACGTCGTCTAGAAGCCCAGGTAGCCGCACTGAAAAAAGACGATAAAGAACTCATGGAACAAAAAATGACGGAGTTATTGGGAAAAATGTTTAGTCCAGGACAAATACGGATGATATTGAATCCTTCATTGCGGAAAATGAAGTGGTCTTCTGAAGATATCGCAAATCACAGGCAAAAAAGAAGAAAGATGTCAAAATTTACTAATAAAAAACCTGTATATTAAATATTTGCATTTATTGTTATTTGATCTTTTATCTGCATCTTTCCTCTGCATATATAGTTCTTTATGTCGTACGCCACAATATATTTTTGTTTTGCGTCTCAGCTGACAATTCTTTTCCAATCGTTTTCCGACCAGTTTTGATTAAAACTAATAATTCGCAGAATTTTAATAATAAATGACTGGAAATTAAAATCTCGTTTTATGTGAAATTTTTCCGTACGTCGCAATGATTTTTATTCAATGCACACAATTCTTTTTTTCTTAATAATAATAATATTTTCTGTAATATCATATATTTAGACAAATCCACATAAAATAATTATAAAATTCGTCAAATAACAATAACGTTTCTAACATCTACAACGAGAGACAAATTCGGGAAACGATGAGCGTTTATCCGTATGTCACGTGCGTTTTTTATATTTATATATTTTTGTTCATATATATTTATTTATTTATAAAACAGAATTTTCTCTTACATAAATGATCAACATTATTTTGTATTCACATATTGTCCGCTCAAAATGCTTTTATAAATGACTATTATAGATTCGCTGCTTAAATGTGCCGCTCAGTGTGACGTAATGTTGGAAAAGTCGCTGATTGGCTGGGTTCGGAAATATGCGCAAGAGCATACCCTTGTATTTCTACCATGGTTTTACTGACGTCAGAGAGAACGAGGGAATAGAAAATAGGGAAGCTTTCTCTAATCTCTACGCAGTCTCTGCTCTCTGGAGTCTCTGCTTCGAGTAGTGAACCTAACCTAACCTTCGTGACAGAGAATTGTCAACAATACCAAGCGTCATGTTATGGCCTTCTCTAAATTATACAATATCTCATTAGATTGTATGTACGATATATTGCGGTCTGAAGAACATCAACAATTTGTCCAGCAAGAAGCCTGCGAATTCTTTTTACCCGTTAAGGCGATATTGTTCAAAGCGCATTATGAAGGTTCTCTCAATGTTACCGAGAAGCCCAACGCGGCTAAAACTATCGCTGGTTATTTGTCGCACGGTACCAGCAGAAAGGTAAACAATATTACATTCTGCATAGAGCGTTCTCTCAGCAGTAATCTGTGACTATCGTCCATGCACTTCTCATTGTTCAATCATATCTATTTGCAAACCAAAGGAGCTCTAGAAATATGGCTTATGTTTTTTGTAGATGGAAGGTTTTTCCATGTATAACAAGATCTTCGAATTTAATGTATGTACAACTATGGGGTCAAAACTGCCAAATGCTGATGACGTCCATGACCGGCCACTTATTAGGCTACGAGGCTACGAGTTCACTGGAGCCTATAGCAAGTGATACAGCTGTCATCCGTTAAGCTTATTTATTTGATGCTCCGGTGTCTAAGCAGTGCTTAGATGAAAATTATGTAAAGCTTAAGAGGACCTTAGAGCGAGAAGTGCAATCTTGCAACGCATTGATTATTTGGACAGATTGTGACAGAGAGGGGGAGAACATCTCGACATAGGCTTTGAGATTATTCAGGTCTGCCGAGCAGTCAAGCCTAATATCCGTATATATAGGTAATTGAAAACCTGTTCTATGTTCTTTCATACATTTGACAAGATTTTTAACGTTTTCTTCATGTTTCAGAGCAAAATTCTCGGAAATTACGAGACAGTCTGTTGAAAGAGCTCTGTAAACTTTGGAAGAACCCAGATAAAGCAATGAGCGATGCTGTAGATGTAAAAAGCGAATTAGATTTACGAATTGGTACTGATTCTATTAAAGATCATATTATGAATCGTAATCGAGCTGCAAATAAATTCCATGTAAATAAATATTTAATTAACATGTTGACAGGTGCTGCGTTTACGAGATTTCAGACCCTAAGATTGCAAAAAGTATTCCCTAATACTCTTGGAGATATGCTCATCAGTTATGGAAGCTGCCAATTTCCAACGCTTAGATTTGTAGTCGAGAGGTTTCTAGCCATCGGTTCAAATCCGAGCCATACTAGAAGCTAAGAGTGCTTGACGAAGGGATGTCTGTAGAACTCAGAATATGGGCTAGAATAAGATTGTTCGAGAAAATGCCTTGCCAGATCTTTCTGGATGTGTGCTTGGAACGACCGGAAACTACAGTAGAGAAAATAACGTGCAAATCGAAAAGCAAATGGAGACCTCTACCCCTGGATACCACTGTAAATAACTGAGTTAAGATATTACTGATATTTAGCATTTCATCTCAAGAATCATCGATTTAAGAATTAGAGAAACAAGGTTCTCGTAAACTATTCGATAAACTTTCTCAGCTAAACTTAATGTCAATAATTAATGAGTCGAACTCTTGGTTAAATATCGCCGGTTAACAGCTATGTTTGTAATGTATGTAAAAATATTTTCTTTCGTGTTTCTTTAGGCTGACGGTTTATAAGGATAGCTCCAATAAAAAACGGCAGTTTTATGGGTGTCCGAAAGGTATGAACTCCACCTGTAAGTTCTTCAAGTAGGCAGTTGGGGATGACGCTGGTAGTCACGAGAACACGGACTGGAACAATTCCACTGGGAGAGGAAGAGGGAATACAGCACGAAGCAGAATCCCTCAAAAAGGCAATGCCCCCAAGAGGCCTAGACTTACTACGGACAAGAGAAAGTGCGGAAATTGCGGAATAGAAGGTAAAGTGATTTCTCTTTCTCTCTTTTTGTTTTGTTCTCTCTTCCTCTATCTCTACTATTTTCTTCTACTTTAAAAAAATAGTAACATTTTTATTGTTCTTAGTTATATCTATTATCTATCATATTGTACATATTATATATATATTTTTACATTTTCCACTGTTCTTTCACAGGTCACACGAAGAACAGATGCCCATCAAATGGGACGAACTGACAAGTGAATTTTTACATTATTGTAAATAATGTACAGTTTGTAACGATTAAAGTTGTAAAAAGCTTAATTAGAACAGAATAGTATCAAACACGACTTTTATCTGTAAGACTTGACTTCTGCCTCATTGAAGTGACAACTTTCATAAGTGTTAAGGTGTTTAAAGGAAGTGGTTCGATCGTCAATTAATGTTGTATAGTTACGGTTTATATCCTAGACGCAATTAATAATGTTTAATAAATTAAACGACAACTTGCTTGTTATGAGAAAAATTATTTTCCAGTCTCTAATTCTTCTTTTTACGAGTGATGTTTCTCGGTATTTGTTTGTGTTAACTATAAAACAGTAAACAAATTAATATAATGTATGATATTTATCATGATATTTATCATTACCATCAGAGACGAATGAGGACGTGGTTAACTTAAAAATTAGGTAGTGGGAATACGCACACAAAGAGATGGTACGTATTATATGAGCAGCATATTGTAAAAACAAATATTTTGATAATTAAAAATAAAATTTTATTAATAATTCCCGCGCGTATAAACAAATATATTGATTTTCGGAAAGTTACTGTATTTAATAAATATATCATTTTTTATCTGTTTATGGTAAATAGGGAAATCTGAAAAAGAACATTACTTAAAAAGAGCAAAAACTAAAAAAAAATCTAATATTTTGCGTGATAAGAATATAAAAAGTTCAAACCAGAAAATCTTTTAAATATCTTTGCTTCAATTGTTTGAGACGGACATTGACAATTTATAAATTAAAACGCATATTTTGCAAGATTTACTCGAAAATGTATCGCGCGGATATATTCGATAAAATGATTACATTTTTCAATATTGAAAAGTATTGCGGATATCAAAACCTACAATTTCAACATGCACATTTAATTTGCGAAAGAGCGACCGCTATATAAGGCAAGCGTGTAGCATATATTTATTGCTAGAATAAAAAGAAATGTATGAACGCGAATATAAGAACGGGACGCGTCTATAGTGATGCCGCTCTTATCACGTGAAATTGACCGCGCGGGAGACGGAAGTCCCTCCGCCATATTGGTGACGTTCTTTTGCCATTTCCAGAACTAAAATCTTCAGGAAACAATGTAAGTTTCATTATACCAAAATATTATAATTTTAATTGTATTTATCTCACAGTTTCAAAAAAACTTGAATTAAATTTGTTTTTCCTCTCTCCTGAAAAATATGAATTTTTTTTCTAGTGTGACGGTATTCTTTTCGAGATGCGATGTTTTATTTTTACGCAACTCCATCTGGATAGACTGCTGGAGGGTCCTCTAAATTTTATTCGGCCCGCCAAGAAATTTCGACGTTAATTTAAAAATAAAGATATTTTTTGTCTTTATATGATTTTCAAAAAAAATCCTTCAATTATTGAAAAAAATTTTAATAAATTTCAATAAATCGGTTCTCTTGACAAAAAAGATTTGAGAGCCCCTAAAATAGACTGTTAACAATACATTTGGGATTGGTTGCAACAGTGCTTGGCGGGGAGAACGGCTCGAGCGTGGTAGCGGCGATGATAGGCAATGGATAAAGACGACCGCGCTGATAAAGGCACAGATCGGCCGGATCGGCGCAGATGTCATGCGGTCGCGATTCGTGCGCCGCCGACCTCCGCGTGTTTGATGGTTAGCCGTCGTTCTGCCCGTGCCGCTCGTAAGATTCGCTCGTTTGAGATTCACGCATATAATACGCCCTGTGCTCTCGGGAAGTGCCGACTAAACGGAGTCTGACAACAACGGCATTGTCTTCATCGCCAAGCTAAAACAAATAATAAGTAAGTGCATGGTGCTCCACGCAGCCCGTCGTGCCAGACGGTTCACAGTCAGTCTGACGTCACGTGAGAATCGCACTGTTAATTCTCGCGCAGAAGCAACGCGCGGATTTCGAACGTCCGCATGTTCGCTTTCGAGCAATTCACTTCACTTCAATTATTTTCTAAATTTTTAAATTATTTTAATAGCACAATACGGAGCAAGAACTTTGCATTTCAATTATGTCAATTATTCAATTATGGATAATGCTTTCTTTACGTTAAAAAAAGTGTCATCTTTGGTGGAAAAATGTCTTAGAATTTTTCATATTGTTAATCAGAATTTTTATAAAAATTTTCAGACTTTCCCAGAATGCTCAGAATTTTTCAGATTTTTCTCTCTCGCCAACACGCATCTTTGTAAAAATCTGAATAATTATGAGAAAATCTGTGTAATTTATCAGAAATTTTTATACATACGGATACTAAAATATTCCAAAAATTTTCATCCCATTATTTCTGAAAAAGTATGAGAAATTTTACAAAATTTATAGAACTTTTGATAAATCTTAATTCTTATACAATTTCTGAGAAAATATGAGAAATTTTTTCACAAGGGATGTGAATTTTATTCAATATTTTTGCCATTAATTGAATGAAAATGATATTTTCCGTGTGTAACTTGTTAAATTTTCATATGACTCCTTATCAAAATGACTCATTTTGTTAATTTATCACTGTATAATTTTTAAATAATTTTTGTAATAATATTGATAATGACTGTAACTCTCAATGGAGATACCTATTTTTCACTCCATTATTTTTTACAAAACACTTTTGAGACTCGATCATTTCAAGAAAATTCATTTAATCAACAACAGCATGATTTGCGACGATGGCCTTCTCAGAATCTTATCGATTTCTGATAATTAATTTACTTGCACCGAATGTATGTGCGCCTGCTTGTGGGTAATAATTACAATTAAAAGGAAGGACATCAAATGAAGAATACTCATTGCACTTATATTTTTTATGAACTGATTAAAAATTATTTCGTTGTAATAATAATTTTGGCTAATTATATTATATAGTTATTGTACATTTTTAATCAGTGAACTTTTTTTCGATTTTTTAATAATTTACTTGATATGCACGTCGTATGATAACGTGTTGAACATGAATCCATGTATCATTCACATGGCGAAAAATACACATTCTCTGTTTACTTTGCCGCTTCTGTCGTGCTGTGTCGTGCTTGCGCGATTACGGCAATGACGATGCGAGTTTTTACAAAAATTATCTTTTTTTTTACTATACATGTAAACTTTTTCTCTTTTCCTTGAAAAAACATAGAAATAACGACTAATCGCAATGAGACGATTAACATTGAGTTAATAAATTAACTCTATATGCATGCTATGAAGATTATACATATGAATGGAAGTATATTATAATAACATTAATTAAATGTCATAAATAGATAGATACGTTAACGCTATTATTTTTATATATAAATTATAATAATATAAAAAGGAGTTATTTCATTTTATAATAATTGATGTATAAATTATTTTATATATAAATATATATACATTCTCTTTTATATAAGCGTTATATAATAGTGAATAAGTGGGTGAACATTGAAATAAGTATATGAAATGTTACAGCCTAGTCATGGAGAATTACACGTCAGACTCCAGCGACTCCGATTCCGCTTTAAGAACGTTGGACCTGTCCTATTTGTTGCTGGACAACGAAGTGTTAGATAAGCAATTTCTCAATACCAAAAGCCCAGAGCAAGTGGATACCTTGTTGTTGAGGCAAAATCTTCTCATGAACCTTCCTGCCAGTATCAATAGATTCACCAACTTGAATTTCCTCGACATCTCGAACTGCGGCCTCACCAGATTGCCAGATTTTTGGGCGGATTGCCCTTTGACCTGCTTGATTGCGAAACACAATCACCTGGCCAATGATGGATTAGCGAAGGATTTTGAAAATCTCGCTAGTCTGAGGGAACTCAATTTAAGTGGTAATAGACTCACGGAATTTCCTGATCAGATTCTCGATCTACCTGGCTTAAGGTATCTTTATTTGGGCGGCAATCGTATCAACGAGATTACCAAGGACATCTGGAAGCTGCACAGGTAATTGCACACTTTAACGAAGTTTAATAATAATTAAGGTTTAGATAAAAATCAAATTCGTTAATTTAATTGTTAGCAAATTGATAATCGGAAAATAAAAACGTATTATGAAGAACGTAAAGAAACTTGAAAATTATAATCAAACATTTTAATTGTAATGTAAAGAATTTTAATTTTAAAAAGTCTATTGTTAACAACAGTAATACGCGAGTTTATAATTGCGATATCAAGATGTGTCGAGATGATTTCTATGGTTTTGCGTATACATAAAGAGAGACATAGATAAAGGAATTGAATTTGCTGTATCGATTTCGATCCCCGTGTTCTTTTTAAATTTAGTTTGACTGGCATTCCAGCTGTGCAATCAATTTTAATCTTTAAGATATTGCTGTTTGCGCTTTATTTCAATGTTATGCTAAAATAAACGTAACGTTCATCGTATCACGCCCGTTATTTTAACGTTCGTGTGATCTTAGAGTGTAAAACTATATTTGTCGTATTAAAAATTTATAATTATAAATGTGAAAATAAATTCAAATAATTGTATCTGCTTGCGAGTATAATATATGCGCATGTGTTTCATATAAAATATGTTTTATATAAAAAATTGAACGATTTGTCGTTTTTATAAAAAAAAAACATTTCTAACAATAAATATTATGATTTGCAAAAGGTTGCGAGTTTTGTCGATGGGAGACAACAGATTAACAGAAGTACCGTCCACCCTTGGTGAACTGAAGGCCCTACAGGCTCTCGTACTTTGCGACAACATGCTAGAGAGCCTGCCAAGCTCGATAGCCAATTTAACAAATCTGAAGACTTTATCGCTTCATAAGAACAGACTACGGACACTGCCTACCGAGATAATAACGTTAAAATGCCTCACAGAGGTTGGTTAATAATGTAATCACCATTTTATATCATATATCATATTATATATTAATTGCAACTGATAAAGTTTAGTAAACTGGTGTGCAAAGTTTAGTGGAAACTTTGCACAGCAGTTTAACATTTATAATTAATTCATATGTTGAATCAAATAATTTTTTTTTCTCGGAATACATCTCTTTCGTTTTTTCGCAGTTGTCTTTACGAGATAATCCATTAGTGGTGAGATTTGTATCCGATATGACACACAATCCGCCGTCGTTGCTGGAGCTAGCGGCCCGCATCGTTAAGACTAGCGATATTCGCTACGACAATGAGAGTATACCGCACAACCTAGTGCAGTACCTCAATAGCGGCCACCATTGTGTCAATCCTAAGTGCAAAGGTCAGTATCTCGTAATAATTTAGCAATAATTAGCAAATTTATAATCCAGATGTAATAAACTAGTGATCGGATTTAATTGCAACTTTCGGACCGATTTTTGTGTTGACGTTTATTATTCTCCCTCTCTTATTGATCGATTGAAGATCGATAGATGTCAACATGAAAATCGGGCCGAAAGTTGAGACCAAATTCAATCACTGTAGCAATTAGATAAAATATTACTTCGAGTAGTCACGCGTGGAAAGCTTAAGCGAATCAATCAGTCGAGCATTCCCGATAAGATAAGCTTGAGGAAAAAGCTCGATTGCATTACACTTTCTGCAGCACGTTAAAAAATATGCAGCAGCAAATTTGGAATGACAAAGCACATTCTCAAAATATTCCTCTTGATTAAATCTCGCGTCAAGGCCAACCTTTATCTTTCTGCGCAGGTGTTTTCTTTAACAACCGTGTGGAGCACATTAAGTTTGTCGACTTCTGTGGCAAGTATCGCTTGCCGCTGCTACAATACTTGTGTAGCAGCAAGTGCATCGAGCCACGCGACAGCGATGAGGAACTCGTGAGCGGTGCCATGATCAGAAAGGTTCTTCTCGGCTAATGAGATCTTAAAGATATATATATACATTTCTGTAATAGATGACATTGAGAATATTGACTATTTCACTATAATTTTTCCCACTTCAAGAGAGATACTCTTCATTTTTTGCTCTTGATCGATGATGCAAAATTTATAGATAATTATATAGGAATAAATATATTGCAATAGATTCTATAAGATACAGAGGAATTGAATTTACAACATGTAAATATATAGAAATATTATGATGTGTTTTATATGTTTTATATTTTTTTCTTTCTGTTTATACATTTGTGTACTTATTCTTTTTTTTTTTCTTTCTTTTCTGCATCAAAAATATAATAACTAATATGTTAAATGTAATTTGGTAAAATATAATAATGTATTTTACAATATAAATAAAGATATAAGATTCTTCTTTAGAACTTCGAAAATAGCAAGGTAAATTTAAATCTGCTTCGAAAGTTTGGAGAAATAAAAGAAATTTTTGATTAATCTAATATGTAAACTCTCGGTATTGTGAATCCTCTATTTTAAATTCTCCTCTTTATTTTAAAACATTTATAAACTGGAATTACGCTGCTCTCATATTACTTACACCTACACATTTACCACGTAACCATGGCTATATGTAGAATGAAAAAATGAGTAAAAAATAAAGCGTGCGATTCTTTATTTTGCGCATGTGCCACATTAGAATGGAAGTAAAATTAAGGGAATATATTTTGAAGTAGAGAATAGACAAGTTTAATTGTTGGAACGATCCTTTCCATCTTGACTGAAAGATCGGTATATTCTCGTTCGAGTATTAAGTTTATTAGATCGCATGTCCTACTTAGCAAAGTACTTATCTATTTAGAAATTAGGAGGCAAATTTTACATGTGGAAAAAGTATCGAGACAGCGATTAACATTATTGTTAATAGTTTATTGTTAAATAAACCACAAAATATACAATAATAATATTATTATATAGAGTGATCCCGCCGCGTGATTGACGACGGCGCGGTATCGCGCGATTCCTTTTTCGCTTAAACACATCCAGAATAGAGTTATGCTACAAGGTATTCATCATCATTATCGTCGTTGCGACTAATACGTTTTTTTTTTGCGTCATCATGTTTCATTAAAACTAAAAACAACATTCAAGAGAAAGAACGCAGAGGAGGAGTAGCGAAATGAGAATGATAGGTAAGTGTGTGTATTTATAATTTTATATATATATATATTATATATATATTATATATATATACTTGTGTATATATATATATAATTGTGTAAACATAGCAATCGTGTAATAAGAGTTTTACTACCTTTTCACTTTTTTTGCTCACTGCTTAGTACAGTGTGTAGTCATATATAATTAATTACCTATACATACATATACATATTCATATATATATACGCTTTATCTATATATTACATACATATATATGTATGTACATGCTTCTTTTTCTTGTTCTCCTCTCTCTCTCTCTCTCTCTCTCTCTCTCTCTTACGAGCGCACTTTTATTTTCATACACACACGCACATACACATACACACACACGTGCGCATATAATCTCACACCTATTCACGACGTCGAATTAGCGCGTTTTTATCGTATAGGCATGGTAGTAACTAACACTACTCTGTTTACTTCATTTTTTTCTTATAATCATCTTCATTTCACTTTAATTTTTTTATTTAATTGTGTGGTAAATATTTTTGTCGCTTATGCATCGTCTCTCTCTCTCTCTCTCTCTCT